CCTCTTTAAGCCTTCTAGGGCTGCATTTTCAAAGTTTCTTGCGTAATCTAACAACGTGCAAGGTGAATCTTGTAATGTACAACCTAGTGACTAGTCTCCACATCTAGTGTCATACGACCTATCAGGTTAGTCGCGTTTTGGGGGAGAAGGAAACACGATCCCCTAAAAGCGACTACACAGGAGGCAAGGCTTTTTTGAACTTTCATGTAATATCGGTATCAATTCTCGTCAACGGACTTCCCTGTTCTCTTTTCGTTCAAGTGATTACTTCCTGAATCCCACCTCTTAAAACTGCCGATTCCCGTGTCCCGTTCATACTAAAAATCCCGAATCTCGCTCCATACTTACTCTAAATTCTCGGAACCTGGCCTTCAAATAAGCCCAATCCTGCCTTCAAATAAGCCTAATCCCGGATCCCAAATAACCTAATGGGGACCCTCTTTTGTGTATTCGCTAAAGAAACACAATAGTGCTCGTGGGAGAGTTATCAATAACTTTGTTCATTTACTTGCAACCCGTTTCTCATCTTCTTTTCAGCAGTTCGTTTCCCAGATGCCAAACAGAAAGACTCTCAACAGGGAACTGTGCAGAGATATGGTTAGTTTTTTCCATACCTTTTCCCTTTAAAGCAACATCATAGCTTTTTCAAGCACTTTAGCTTAATAAAATTCGTCCAACCACTTTATCAACCATGAAAGAATTAGTAGTGATCAGCTGAGTGAATTTCTCATTGACCTTACCACCAGACTTCCTGACTTGCTGACTTAAGTTTGTTCATTTTTCTCGTCTCATTATAATTACTCGATCGTAGACGGTAACAATCATTTAGGTCCAAAACCCGTGGTGGAAGTCATTGACTGCTTTCACTGTTTCTCAGTCAATGTTATCTATTGCAAGGACCTCTTCTATCGACTGTCGATTAACAACTGAAGTAGTATCAAGTGTTTTTCTATTCAGTCTGTGAAGAACTGATAACTTTACTATTTTATTTCCGCGCAATAATACTTCTTCCTTCATTTAAAACAGATCTTCATTTAATCAGGTCTTAAAGCCTTGGTCAAACAAATTTATCGCGTTGATTGCATCATTGTCGGTATTCAACAAATTGACGTCAATTTTCCATCGTCTTTGCAGTGAAACCACTTGGCTGCGCCTCGTGGTTTCACTTAGTTTTGAACATTGTTGAAGTCATTTCTATGATCAGTAAGGTTATAGAACGTGGAAAATTGATATCAATTTGTTTTTTACAACAAAATTTATGACTTTGTTAAGCCTGTTTCCAGAAAATCCCGCGCGAGCGTAATGCATCATTTTTATGATCTATAACCTTATTGACAATGGCTCTACTGAACCAACAAGCGCGTGAGAATTTCTACGTTTATTGTAAAATATTTCTTAAACTAACTTTTTTAGTTGTAAGTTGATAATTAACTAATCGTTTCCTTAGGCCGCCGCCAAGAAATGTAAAAGGAAATTCCAAAATCTTTGTTAACTTACTTCCTACTCACAAAGACCAATTTTTTTATTTAATTTTTTCTTTTTCAGTTTGTGAACAAGACATCTCTCCTACACGTTTTCTTGTTGAAGCCACTCATGGACATGGTAAGTTTACTTACATATATCTTTCCCCTTTATCAGTAGCAGCGCGGGTGGTACGTCATTTTTAGGATCCTTAATTTTATTGACAATGGCTCTCGACCAATAAATACGTGAGAATTTCTACGGTTATTGTAAAATATTTCTTAAAATAACTTTTTTGGTTGTAAGTTGATAATTAACTTATCGTTTCATTGGATTGCCGCCAGTAAATGTAAAAGGAAATTCCAAAATCTTTGCTCATTTACTTGCTACTCACATTGACCCGTTTTTTTTATCTAATTTTTTTTCTTTCTCAGTTCTTGAACAAGATACCTTTTCTATACGTTTTCATGATGGAGGACATTGTAAGTTTACTTAAATAGATCTTTCCCTCTATTAGTAGCAGAGAAGCTTTTCATTGGGAATGTCAACTTATCAGACTTGTTTGGAGTACTTTTTCTAACTTTATCAACATATGAATAGTAAATCAAATCCCTGATTTATCATCACCCACAGAGTGAATGACGGACTTGCTGGCTGAAAGACAGACTGACTGTTTGACCTACTGAAAGCTGGGCTAGAGCATCGTTGGTTAACTTTTCCCTCTTCCCTACGTTACAGAAACTAAGCTTCACGTTAGAAACGTCAGTTTATGAAAATGAATCATAGCAGGTTAATTAACTTTAACACGTTTTTAATGATAATCAAACGGTGATTGACAAACTGACTGACCGACATATTGTGTCCCTAGCTGAGTGACTGACTCACTGACTCACTGACTCACTGACTCACTGAATCACTGACTCACTGACACACTGACTCACTGACTCACTAACTCACTGACTCACTGACTGACTGGTCGATTGGCATGACCGACAGACTGACTGACTCACTGACTGACTCACTGACTGACTCACTGACTGACTGACTGACTCACGGACTGACTGGTTGATTGGCATGACTGACAGACTGACTGACTGACTGACAGACTCACTGACTCGCTGACTGGTCGATTGGCATGACTGACAGACTGCCTTACTGAGCCACTCGCTGCCTGATTGGTTGACTGACTGACCATCTGATTTACCTTGATCTTGATGCGACAGAATTGAGTCTGACGCCGGGTGAAACGGCTTAAAGTCATTTAGGCTAAGCTGACTCTTAGGCTAGTAGTTCTTTAACTCATTAGAAAATGCTCGTAGGGTTACTGATCGAAGAGGTCAAAAGAATGGCGGATTATATCATGGTTCTCATTGTACTTTAGTGTCTCAGGAAATGTTTTAATCGAAGGAGAAAATAACAAAAAGCGAAATGGTAGCTCTCGTTTAGTGATTTTTAACTTGTGCCCTGTGTATTTAAAAGTAAATTCTTATGTAAAAATTTGGATGAAATAGCTTAAAAACACCGTTTTTTATGAAGGACAATTGCAATTTAAATATTTGTCTTTCTAAAAGCAGGGAAGCCACACGCAGCTGATTGCCTTGAACAGTGCTTAGAAGGCAAGAGCTGCTCAAATGTTCATTACGCTATGCCTTATCAATGGCAATACACATTACACCACACTAGTGGTGAATGGAAAAGCTTCAGCGAGAAAGACAACTTGGCGTTGGAGAAGCTCTTTTGTGACCCGAAGATTGAGGGACTGACGAAAATTTACCCTAATCAAATTATTAAAAGGTAAGTTTTTTGCGAAATTTTGATTGTCGAAGCTAAGAAAGTATCATTCATTATCATATTGAAAACAAAACCTCATTAAAATTAAGTTTCAACGCACTTTAAAACACGCCTACTAGAAAACTAGTTTCGTCCACAGACCTCTTCAGTTGTATGCAATGTTTCGTTTCGTTTCGTTGTTTCGTTAGAAATTTCAAATCTCAGACCACGTCATATAACGTTGCACAAGCATATAACGTTGCATATAACGTAATTTCTAACGAAACAACGAAACGAAACGAAACATCGCATACAACTGAAGAGGTCTGTGGACGAAACTAGTTTTGTAGTAGGCGTGTTTTAAAATGCATTGGAAGTTAATTTTAATGAGGTTTTGTTTTCAATATGAAAAGGTAAGTTTATTTGGTATTTAAGGTCTTAAAATGATGATTACCATTGGATAGATATACGTTACATGTACTTTGCGCTAATGGAGATTTTTGATTATGGCTAGCACGCACCTATCGGTAGTTGTGATTGGTAAGGACGAATGAGCGTGGGTAGCATTTAAGCGAAGGCTTTTACGGCCAACGGTTAATATCTTTCTGTCATTGTTAGCAGAGCTGTTAAAAATAAAGTTTCCATTGTTTTTCAGAGTTCATGATTTATTTTCGTTGTTCTAAAAAGGAGTGATGTAGAGAAATCTTCTGTTTTCCTGCATTGCCCACAAGACAAGACACATCATTTTGACATTTTGGCATTTTCAGAATGATACAACGTCTAGAACGATTTATTTTGTGTCAGCTGGAGTGAGGGGGAGGGGGGAGTAAGTGAGTTGGGGGCGCGAATGCTCGAAAATATATCTTGGAACCTTTTCCTACCATAGACTCCTGGATCCGCTCCTCCAAGCTTTTGTTTGGCCCCTACTGGTGTTTGAATCAGGGTTCTTACTTTTCGTCACAGCTAATTAGATAACTGCAAACTTATGCAAGAACTTACACTCCTGCGCTTTGTGATACTAAAACAGTCTTTGATTTCCCCTTTTGCCACATTTCTCAGTTACGGAGATACTTTGCATCCATGGGAATATGGCTTTTCAGTCGACGTTAACAGCATGACCCTATCAGTAGAGCCAGTAGCAGGAAGTTTCCCTACAAACCATATTTGGGGAAAATTAAGGCGCTTGTCCACACCACCTTGCTCCATTTACCCGAGTCGCCCTTTGTCTACGAAATGGAAATGGGAAGATAATGGGAAGATAATGGCAATTTTTGGTGTTTGTACGATAAGAACCACTTGGTAAACCTTATCATGAGCTGTAATATGTCACGTTTAATCTTTCAAGTATTAGAGGGATCTGTCCCTTAGAATGTCCACGTCACATACGCATACTTTAATTTCGTTGAGAAAAAGAACGAACTGGGAAAGAAACTTCTGACAACCCAAGCGTAACGTGAGTTTATCAGATTTTATCAAATTCTTCAATCGTTCATACGGCACACCTCTTTTGCCTGTCTGATAAGAATGAGCTTAGAAGTGACTTTCTTCCAGGAACGCGAAGTTTTTGTAGGGACATAAATGACACAGCATTCACAATTTCAAGAGGCACTAAAACCTTCGTAGCCAGTAACATAACGAATGATTATCAAAGGAACTTTGCATGATCGATAAACATGTGAAAGCTTGTAGTTAGGCGAGCAATACAGGCACATAATAACCTGTTAGAGCTAAATAACTAATTAGTTCACTTTATCTTATTTTACTGTGTCAATTTATCCGCATTGATAGAAACTCACAAATTAATTCTATTTCCAAGGGAAAAAACCTACAAGAACTGATAGAGCAAGCTTTTCTTAATCAAAATAGACCAGACCATAAGTTCAATTTCAAGGTCAAAGATCAAGGGTACTGCCTGATCTTTCAATCAGATAGAGGCATGCATCAAATAAACGTGCAATATGGCACCATAAGAAAGGTGAAACGAAGGCCAGAAAGACCTGTTTACCCTGACGAACTGAACGCTTTAAACAGGTAGGAATTTGTTGCTGACGGATCACAATGATCTCAAGGTTTTAAACGCAATGTATCTTTCTCCGTAATACGTTTCACTTTTACTTTATTAATTTATTCGGCAACTGAAAAACAGAATATGTACTTAATAAATGAGAGGCCGGAACGCCGAACTTTGGGTTTCAGAGCCAGAATAACAGCCGTACGGTCCTCCCACTCAATCAGCGAGTCTTTTTCCATACACGCCGGTAATCATTAAGTCTCAAACTTTTAAACAATGTTTGAATCTAAGTTAACGTGCTTGTGTAGATGACAAAGGCGCGCTGGACATAAAACAAAAAAGATTTTTCAGTGAAACCGTACTCGTGAAAGATGATGTTATTCAATAACAGGCATACCCGAAAGAATGATCTCTGAGCTCTCCCATTAAGAGTCGAACCTACTTTATTTCTTCGCAGTACTTTATTCCTCTGAATACCTTTATTTCTTCGAGTTTGGACATGAAACTCAGAACTGATCAAAAAGTGCAACTGATTTTCTAATGTTATTTTTATTTTCTTAGTGTACATCCAGAATTTCGAGTGACGCAACCGAATAATGTAAACCAGCTCACGACAGCCTATGCAACCCTATACAAGTCACAGAAACCGGACAACGGAGTAGTCCAGCCTCGTGTTCCGAAGCACTGGTCGCCTATGCCAACCAGCCGGTAATCACTAAGTCTTAAAAACTTTCTAACAATGTTTGAACCTAAGTTAACGTGCTTGCATAGATGATAAAGGCGCGCTGGACATAAAACAAAAAAGATTTCTCAGTGAAACCTTTCTCGCGAAAGATGATGTTATTCATTGACACAGGCATACTCGAAAAAGACATCTCTGAGCTCTCCCATTAAGAGTCCAACCTACTTTATTTCTTCTCAGTACTTTATTCCTCTGGACACTTTTATTTCTTCGAGTTTGGACAAGAAACTCACAATAGTCCTTTTTACAGTTGTGGGCTTGGTGGCCAAGCCTTTGAACAGGAGTGAGGCTAAGGGTGACCTTGTTATGATAGAGATGTTGCTGCTTTTCAAATGCAAATTTATTTGTTATCATGCTAAGTAGATACTGGTCTCTATCACAACAGGGTCACCCTTAGCCTCACTCCTGTTCAAAGGCTTGGCCACCAAGCCCACAACTGTAAAAAGGACTATTGTGAGTTTCTTGTCCAAACTCGAAGAAATAAAAGTGTCCAGAGGAATAAAGTACTGAGAAGAAATAAAGTAGGTTGGACTCTTAATGGGAGAGCTCAGAGATGTCTTTTTCGAGTATGCCTGTGTCAATGAATAACATCATCTTTCGCGAGAAAGGTTTCACTGAGAAATCTTTTTTGTTTTATGTCCAGCGCGCCTTTATCATCTATGCAAGCACGTTAACTTAGGTTCAAACATTGTTAGAAAGTTTTTAAGACTTAGTGATTACCGGCTGGTTGGCATAGGCGACCAGTGCTTCGGAACACGAGGCTGGACTACTCCGTTGTCCGGTTTCTGTGACTTGTATAGGGTTGCATAGGCTGTCGTGAGCTGGTTTACATTATTCGGTTGCGTCACTCGAAATTCTGGATGTACACTAAGAAAATAAAAATAACATTAGAAAATCAGTTGCACTTTTTGATCAGTTCTGAGTTTCATGTCCAAACTCGAAGAAATAAAGGTATTCAGAGGAATAAAGTACTGCGAAGAAATAAAGTAGGTTCGACTCTTAATGGGAGAGCTCAGAGATCATTCTTTCGGGTATGCCTGTTATTGAATAACATCATCTTTCACGAGTACGGTTTCACTGAAAAATCTTTTTTGTTTTATGTCCAGCGCGCCTTTGTCATCTACACAAGCACGTTAACTTAGATTCAAACATTGTTTAAAAGTTTGAGACTTAATGATTACCGGCGTGTATGGAAAAAGACTCGCTGATTGAGTGGGAGGACCGTACGGCTGTTATTCTGGCTCTGAAACCCAAAGTTCGGCGTTCCGGCCTCTCATTTATTAAGTACATATTCTGTTTTTCAGTTGCCGAATAAATTAATAAAGTAAAAGTGAAACGTATTACGGAGAAAGATACATTGCGTTTAAAACCTTGAGATCATTGTGATCCGTCAGCAACAAATTCCTACCTGTTTAAAGCGTTCAGTTCGTCAGGGTAAACAGGTCTTTCTGGCCTTCGTTTCACCTTTCTTATGGTGCCATATTGCACGTTTATTTGATGCATGCCTCTATCTGATTGAAAGATCAGGCAGTACCCTTGATCTTTGACCTTGAAATTGAACTTATGGTCGTTTCTATAACATCAAGAAATGGTTTAGATATTGTAGTCTTCTCGGATAGGGACGAATAAATGGAGGTCCCGTCTCCTGCATGGTTAGGGGTAGGAGACGTTAATTTCCCACGCACGAGATTACTGTGTGATGGATGTCCTCCCCTGGGGTGGGATGGGTGGTTTGTTGTCTTGCGTTTCATACATGAGCCTCTGGCACAGGCAATATGGATAACCATGCCCCACGTAAAGACATTAAACTTTGCCTACTCTATTGCTATTTACGATTTCTATTACTTTCTTAGGTTACATCCAGAATTTCGACTGGCGCACCCGGATAGTGAGAACCAGCTCACGACAACCAGTCTAACCCTACATATGTCGCGGGAACCGGACAACGGAGCATTCCAGTCTCGTGTTCCGAAGCACTGGTCGCCGATGCTTCCCAGTGAAAAATATACCCGTGTGACGTTAGAGTTATATTCCAAGGAATTCACAGAGGTTGAAGAACTGTTCCTGGCGTCGATGCATGATGCGGTGATAGAGAAAATCGACCTTTTGCAGAACCCTTTCATATGGGAAAAGTATCAAAGGTAGGAAAATCTAAAAAATGTACAGGACATATATCTTATTAACCAAGTGCGAGGGCCGTACTGGGAGAATATCGGCCCGAGGTCTTGACAGTACGGACCGAACGCAGCGATATTCTTCCAGTACGGTCCCGAGCAAGCTTGGTTTATAAGAGATTTATTATACGACTGAAGTTCAAAGGGACACAGGTGCGGTATCATTCGGGACCATTCGGGACAGTGCCCGGTCCAATACTGAGAGAATATTGACCGGCAATAGAGCATTTTGATTGGTTGATTTTAGTTATTGGCCCTCTGACTGCTCGAGTCGTGTAATAAAACCCAGTATGGTCCGAGGAAACTGAGAGGGTGGATAAGGGTCACCCTCACTCCGGCTCCCTTAAATATTCTCACACAACGCATGATCTCCAAAAAGCAGTTTCCGAAATGCCTCGCGCGAAATTATTGGTAAACGGTGTTTTCTATCCTTTCAACGTTATTAGGGTTGACGGCGCGCCGAACAAAACGTTTACAATTAGCCCACCCTAAACAGACAATATGTTTAGCCGTTAAGCGTAAAAACTGACAAATTTTTACCGTTATTCGTAAAAAAAAGTTAACTGTACAAGTACATTCTATTTTCGATGTGGCATTTTGGGTCTACTGTTAGCCGTAAATTGGCCAGAGTCTTAACCGTTATCCGCCATCACTTCACTTAGTACCTCTAAAAAATCCTTTCCTAAAAGGAGCTAGAAGTTTTCGTTTCGCTGTCACGATTTTCTTAGCAAACTTAGGAAGCTTGACGGTGAAGACCCTTGGTTACATATACGATAAATCTATTGAAAATAGCGTTTTTTTCGCTTGCTAATGGGCTACTTCGGAAGGAATTAAGAAGACACACCTGGCAATGCATTTTACTCGTCGATCGCTGTGAATTTGATCGTCGCGATAGGCTTATAAAATCGCCGATATCTGGCCACGATGTCAAATATCGGCAATTTTATACGCTGATCGCGGTGATATGATAACTCGTTTTTTGTATTTTACGGCACAACTCGTAGAAATACTTAGCGATACTACACAATAAAACGTTTAATAAGATATATTTAGTCGCCTCTACTTCGGTGAACTAATGTTAGTTACTGCATGCGCAAATAACGATAATGATAATAAAAAAAATCAAAGAAATTTAAACCTCTCTTTGGTGATGCGTACAATAGCTCCGACGCTGTCTGCTTAATGCAGGATTTGACTGAGATAAAAAAATGTTGCTCTTCTCTCTACAGGAAGAAAGACAACATGATGGGATTGGCTCATGGTAAGACATGCAACGTTAATGAGAAGAAATTGTTTCACGGAACCAGTCCAGACGCAGTGGAGGCCATCTGCAAACAAAATTTTGATTGGCGAGTAAACGGCAAGAACGCAACTGTATATGGGCAAGGAAGCTACTTCAAAGTGGATGCATCCTACAGCCACAACTACGCAAAAGAAGATGGAACTATGTCTCGATTCATGTTCTTAGCCAAAGTTCTGGCAGGCTCGTATACAAAAGGTGAGCCCAGTTTTCGGAGACCGCCGCCAAAGCAACCATGGAATCCCACCAGTGATTTGTATGACTCCTGTGTGGATAATGAGGCGAAACCAAATATCTTTGTTGTATTTGAGACAGATCAGTGCTACCCAGTACTCCTCTGCCCAGTCATTACTTGATCTTGCAATATCCGCACCGCGAATGGTACCGTTAAATCCTCGGGCAACACCTTTAAACTTTCTCACCAATTTCAGCACTGGCCAAGGAAACCAGGCAGGATTCTCACTGAAAAAGGACGATGAATGCATAATATCATGACAGAATCACCTCACTCCGAAGCCATGAGGCACTAGAACCGCTCACTTATTTCATTGATTTTTATTTATCATTTAATTATTTCGCCTGAAAGTATTTACAATTATTTCGGCGAGGAAACTCATTTGGAAAGCAAGGGGCTTATGACTATGAGCTTCCCATTTAGCTAAGATTAAAAATATAGTTATCATACGTGAAGTTTTATTAACGGAACATAGCTAAAGATACAAAGGGCAAGAAAAAAAAAGCAGAAAAAAAAGGCGATAAATTGATAATTAAAAAAAAGTAGTCCGCAAAAAGACAAGTAGATGTACACCAAAAGCAAGCGAGGATGCACACAAAGATTCTTCATAAAAAAAAAATAGAATTCATAATTCATTTCGAAGCTTCTGTTCGCATAGTATAGCTTAAGTTAACTTTGTCATATCTCGTAGAATGCGATCTAATTTGGAAACTTCGCTATGTCTTCGAGGATGGGTATGTTAGTGTTCTTTTAATTCGCCCAAAAATTGTATTTTTGTTTGTTTTTTGTTACGAAAAATGGTTTTTTTTTATCGTATCGACCAATCACGTAGTATGAAATAATAGAAAAGGAAGGAAATCGTGATTTTTGATATGTAATATACTATAAGGCCTAAAGGAGTCGCACACTTTTTGAGGCTGAAAAATAGATACTCAGCTTTAGCGTAAATCTTAAGCAACTAACTAAATTAAATGTCAAATACATGTGATAAGGTACTCCAGTGGCTGCTGTGCATCCTAGTTATTACTGGAACTTGATGCTCAAACAACATACACGTTCCAAAAAGTGTTTTCGCCCATGCTTTTGTCTACTTGGAACGCTTTTTTAGCTAGAAACGATAAAACTTGTATCCTGGTCTTTGTTAGTTGTTAAATGGACTGACTGATAAATTTGCCTTATCTTAAACTTGGTTGTGTTAAAGTCAAAACGCAATCAGCCTCGTATCATTCGTGAAACTGGTAAATATACGAGTGATCCTGGGAGTAATTGTTGAGCCAAAGAATGTGCCTCATACTTTGAACATTTTTCTAACGATGAAACTTTGCTGAGAATCATGCTGTTTCTGCGTATCAGCTTTTTAAAAGAAAAGAGAAATAGTGAAAAATGATGAGGATGAATGCGTGATTCATGATTACCAGTTTTACGAAGCCCTGAGTTATGTCCCTGGCCTAGAAACCTTCATGACGTTGGGTTCCAATTCAAATAGCGGCACTAAGCAAGCAAGAATTTTGGTCTCTCTCGATTTAAAGGGTAATTATTCTCCCTAGATTTTCCCGAGCGAGTGATTAAGATATTGGGGTGCGATGGGGTCTAATACACTAATGTTTGGAGTTGCGTTTCATTTAATAATTCGAATAACAATGCTTTCTTCACAAAGAATATGCCCCCTTTTGTTTTAATGTTTCCGATGATTTAAGCGCTGGACTCCAAATCGAGTCTATAGTAAGGAGTTAGAAGTTCATATTTCTCAGATCAAGTGAACCCTGTGCACCTTTTGTCTAAAATGCTTCATGTGAGAGGGGAGTCAGGGGCATATTCACGCCGGCCATTCATCCACTGACGCGCCATGAACCTTACAACAGTCTAGTCATAGACATTCCTCGATCTACGTTTATGATATTGCGACTCTTCAATATTCTCCCATACATTTCTTTATATACATTTCTTTATAC